GTCATCCAGCCTGGTGCAAGTGGAGGAGTGGGGAACCAAACCCAGTTCTCCCAGATTAGAGTCCGCGCACTTAACCACCACAGCAAACTGGCTAGAAGGAGACACGTGGAAGGATCCCACTCTCTGACTGCTACTCCTCTGTGGCTGCCTTTTGCGCAGAGGGCCCTGTCCTCGTTTTTGTCATGGCGGCAACAATTTGTTTCACTCCCCATCCTCTCCCCACAACAGACACCCTGTGAGGTAGGTGGGGCTGAGAGAGCTCTTTCCAGAGCTCTCCTTGAGAGAACAGCCCTGACAGAACTACGGCTTGCCCCAGGTCATCCAGCAGCTGCAAGTGGAGGAGTGGGGAACCAAACCCGGTTCTCCCAGATTAGAGTTCGCGCACTTAACCACCACACGTGGAAGGATCCCGCTCTCTGACTGCTACTCCACTGTGGCTGCCTTTTGCGCAGAGGGCTCTGTCCTCGTTTTGTCATGGCGGCAACAATTTGTTTCACAGAACAGTGTCAAAGAATCAAAATGACTTCTTTTCAGTGGCCTGTCAGATACGACAGGGAGTTCAGCACTACCCCCCTTTTTCATCTCTCTTGTTATCTCTAGGGTGATGGAAACATCCGGTACTACGAGATAAGTTTGGAGAAGCCATACCTCAATTACCTGATGGAATACCGATCCCCTTTACCCCAGAAAGGCATCGGTAAGCTTGCAGCAATTTTGTGAGCGGTTGCGTGTCTTGGAGTAGTGATAAATGGGAGTCTGTGAACGACTGATCGCCCAAGGCAGCTGGTCGGGGGCAGATAACAGGCCTGTGTTCTCCTTCTCTTTGGGTTTTGTCACAGCTGCGCCACACAGCTCAGGGCCAGTCTCTTGCTGTTTCTCAGTGCGCTTAGAGGGCACGACGGAGACGTTAGGCAAGCAGAGAAGAGCATCTTGCCGTTGGGATTTTGATTCACTTTTTAAAAATACCGTTCTGAGGAGACATCCTCCTTCCTCTGTTCTTTGTTCAAATGTGCAAGCACAATACAGGGCATTTATGTTTATGTGGTAAATTTGCCCTCCAAATTGGTGCTCCAAGCAGCATACAAGTATCACATACCCCCTCACCCATCAGCATTACATGTACAGCCCATGAAACCTCAAGCAGATCCAAGAGAAGGCTGTAAAGCCGTTCCTGTGTTAACGGACGAGAGGCCTTTGCATCTTAACACAAGGCTCAAAAGGACTTTTAATCCTAGTCTGGAAGGCCTGGGTAGATCTGCTCGCCATCTTGGAAGCTTGATGATGGGCCCGACTTTCCCAGGGAGAACTTTTCTGTCTCTTTTTAAAAATCCTCCTTCTGTGGCAGAAGGTGCAGCGAGGACGTCTTTGGCTCCCCTCCTCCCTCTGCTCTCTCGCTTGCCGGATCTCACGGGGCCATGGGTGAGAATGGAGTGGAGCGGGAGAGACAGGAGGGTTGTCTAGTGGTTTCCCCCTGCCTTCCACACAGTACTGTTGGTCGTTGCTCTTCTGGTTTTGTTTTGTTTCTCTGCCAAGTTCTTCCCATGTTTTTCCACCCCCCCCCCAGCCCCACAAAATGGTCTGGAGAAACAAAAAACACTTGAAGAACTGGGAGAGTGAACAACAAATAACCTTGGGTGGGTGTGTGGGTGGGGGAACTGCTGTGGTCAGGTAGCTAAGCTGGAGCAAAACCTGGTGCGCAAAAAGCCCCTCTGTGTGTGCGTGCGTGCACGCGCATGTGCACGCATCGAGGTTGGGAACAAAAATTGAAACGTTTTAGGGGAATGAAGCTAAATTCCACAGACAAGAAAGCACAGCTAAAAAAAACAAGAGAAGGCTAAGGAAGGGCTACTAGGGCTGCCAGTTCCCAGTGGAAGGCAGAGGGTCCCCCGGTTTTGCGGACTTCTGCCCGCCACCAGCCAGCTGGAGGAAATCCGCCCCCCAGCAACGTGGAGCGAGGTGCCTACGTCACCCAGAAGTGACATAGGCGTGATGGGGGGGGACGCTCTGGGAAAAACTCTATGGTTTGAAGGCAATTTTACCATTGTGTTTTGCTCAAAATCCAGAGCATTGTCCCGGATGTGCCTACATCACTTCCAGGTGACGTAGGCACGGTGTGTGATGTCACTTTTGGTGACATTTTGGGGGTGACACTTCCAGCTCCTGGAGCAGCCCCCCCATCCCCCCGTTGGTGTTTCAAAGGGACCTGGCAACCCTAGGAAGGGCAGAGGAAAATGGGGGTGGGGGATGGACTCAGCCAGCATACCCCAAACATGATGCCTGTGGGTGCCCTAATACCCGCTGATGGGTTCCCCAGCATTTGCGGCCTCCTTCCCCAAAGCAGAGAGCCAGTCATCGCTTTCCTGCATCTCACTGAAGCAGGAGGTTCTCCAGAAGAGCCCCCCGTCTGCAGGGAGCACCCATTTGGAGCAATGCTCCCTCTAAGCTGTGGAGTCTTGTGAGCAAAAATTCTACTTTGTGAGCTGCCGGCATTAAAGTTGTGAGCGAGCAATTTGGCCAGTGCATCAATTAGTTTGCTCTGGAGCTGTCCTTCCTGAGCGAAGACAAAAACGTGTGAGCTGGAGGCTAAAAAACTGTGAGCTAGCTCACACTAACTCAGCTTAGAGGGAACACTGATTTGGAAACAGCTGCCCTCCACCATAGGCACAGGCTAGGCCAAGAACCTCCCAACATTCTGTGATTGGCCCCAGCCTTATGTGGCAGCCATTTTATGATTGGCTGCACTCCTCCCACCCATGGCAGTCATTCTGGGATGGTGCCCTCTGCTTTTTGTCAAGATTTCAGGAGCACACACGGGTCCCACAAGGTTGGGGTTCCCTGGACGAAAGCAGTCCCTCTGCTTCTTGCCTACGAATCCCACTCTCCCCCCCCGGGTTTGCTGGTGAGCGTGTGACTTGACCTACGGACTCAGGACAGCTTTGTGGTCTTTTAGGAACCATGCCAAAGAGGGGTCTGGACGTCTCTTCCTGCGAGATCTTCCGATTCTACAAACTGATTCCGATGAAGAGCTTGATCGAGCCCGTTTCGATGATCGTGCCTCGGCGGGTGAGCAGAGAACTCAGCCGTGCGGCTGCAGCCGCTGTGCTGGGGCGGGGGTGTGTGTGTGTGTTGTGCCCGAAGAGGCAGCTTGCTCTGACATCCCCCGTGCGCGTTGGTGTGTCTTTGCAGTCTGAATCGTACCAGGAAGACATCTACCCGATGACAGCTGGAGTCCAGCCAGCACTGGCAGCAGCAGAATGGCTGAACGGCGTGAATAAAGGTCAGGCTTTGCACTGGAGAGGCAGAATCTAAACCGTTTCCTCAGCCACATCCTGTAAGCTGCAGGTCATTAAATAGTGAGACTGGAAGGAGACAGCGGCGCAGATCCTGCAGTGAACTTCTGCTAGTGGAAACGGCCTGTATGCGGGGGGGATTGGGGGGAGTCATGATTTCCCCTGAAGTGCTCCACTTCAGACCTCCACCCTTCATAGCGTTCCTGAGGGGACCCCTGTGCACCAGCAGCATTTCCAGCTGCAGCCAGAACAGGGAGGCAAGGAAATCCCATTCCGCTGACAGAAGTTCCCTTCCGTTAGAATAGATTCACCACAGGCTCCAAGCCAGAAGGTTGTTGTTGTTTTAGTTGTTTGAAATGCCTTTAAGAGGCTTTATACGACCTGAAGAGAAACCATTGCCCCGACTCTACAGATGTGGCATACACGACTATGGAATCATTATGTTCTAGCTAGGCTTACTTTTAATGTGAATCAGATGACATCAACTAGAGCCCTCTTAGAGTTTAAGACAATTTGGTCACTGATTCTATCTTATCTTTCTAATCTAATAGTATTTACTATTTTTATGTCCTTAATCTTAGTAAGATCTGTATGAACCCTTTTATGGTTGATGAGGTATTGATTTTTTTTCTATTTTCTATTTTTTGTTAAAATGGAATAATTTTTTTTAAAAGAGGCTTTGTTTCCCCTTCGGTTTACATGCATTTAGTTTCTCACATGCCTCTCTGCTTAAACATGTTCTGCAGGTTTCAGATGTGAAACCTGCCAGACCTGTTTATCCAGAGGCAAAAATGGGGTAAGACTCGCTCCTGCTACAAAAAGAGCCCTGGAAGAGTATGCACACTCCACAGGCAACCCATCCCACTTTAAATTGATTTCAGTCAGTGGCTTAAGAGTAGCAAAGCAAAGTGCGTATCTTTATTACACAGGGTGAGGGAAGAACTGGTGAATGGCTCAATAAATAAGTCAAAGTAACTCAGATCCTCTGCTCAGAAGCACAGAATTCTTGCATCCTGGTTTAAGTATACAAAGAGGCTCTTCATTCCCAAATCTATATGTTGCTATTCTCAGGCTCTTGAGGTGGCTTTCAGTTCGTGCTTAAAATAATATAAACCCACATAATAATAACAACAATAAAGACGTGAATAGCTATCTAAAACTTCGATAAATGAATCTGCACAGTAATACAACCACAGCAATGGTTGTTGTTATAAAATCCAGTGGTGTCAGGCAGAATAAAACCCAGCAGGGTGGTGCTTTCATCTGGCACCTTTGGGTGTGCCGGGAGCTCCGTATGTGGAGTGTCCAGTGATTGATTTAAAACCTCTGTTCTCGGGCACCCAAGAAGTGAGTTTAAAAAATTCTGGTTTGGCCCTTTAAAGCTAGAGGGAGTGGGTGCCAGGCAGATCTATGTACTGTGTTTCCCCGAAAATAAGACACTGTCTTATATTTATTTTTTCTCAAGAAGACACACTAGGTCTTATACCACAAATGCATAGAAATCCTGCTAGGGCTTATTTTTGGGGTAGGTCTTATTTTCGGGGAAACAGGGTAGTTGAAAACTCCGGGTTAACACATTTCTGTTATGGGAAAAGGGCAAAGGAAGATTGCAGGCGTTTAATACAAGAAAGTCCACCTCCCCTCCCCACCCCACCCCTGTATGGCCACCTGTGAGACAATGTAAGACGTTTTGCAGGCTACACAGCGGTGCATGAGCCAGTTGCCTGCGGCTTCTTCCCACAATGCCCCTTATGAATGTTTAAAGGCTTTGTTCCATGGCAGCAGTGCCAAAGGCCCAGGTCCTTCCCACGAGATCCTCGCCCCTGGCTACAGGCCCTGGGAGCCAGTTTGGTGTAGGGGTTAGGAGCATGGACTCTAATCTGGGAGAAGCAGGTTTGATTCCCCACTCCTCCACATGCAGCTGCTGGCATGTCAAGTTCTCTCAGTCACAAATTCTCTCAGAGCTGTTTTCTCAAGGGCAGTTCTCGGGAGAGCTCTCTCAGCCCCGCCTACCTCACAGGGTGTCTGTTGTGGGGAAGGGAAGGAGTTTGTAAGCCTCTCTGAGTCTCCTTCGGGTAGTGGAGGGCAGGGTATAAATCCAACCTCCTCTTCAAAAAGCACCTCCCGCATTGCTGCTGGAACACAACAGGGGTGCCTGAGGGGGGCGAGGAAAAACCCCCTGGGGGGGGGGGGGGTCTCACTCTCTCAGAAGACAGTGCAGGAGCCGTTCCATGGTACATAAGTGAGTCGTGTTTCAGACCCAGACCAGAGACCCGGGTTCCAGTTGCTATTCAGCCCTGAAGTTCTCTGGCACTCCTTGGTTTGTTGAGACCCTGCCTTGCAGGGCTGTTAGAGAATAAAATGGGTGCTGAATTTTGTGGAAATATGTTAAATGAGAGTGTGTATATGCAATATTGCTTAATTTGAATTGTTTCTACAGGTTGCAGAACCCTGCATTTCTTTCAAATCTCAATTTTTATTTATTTTGAGCATACACCCACTGTGCGTACAAAATGGCCTGTCTTTGTTCCCGGAAAGTAATAAAGACCTACTTATTTCTGTCCTTCAATGGCTTGGCTGTCACCGCCTTTCAAATGCTGCTGTGTTTTGATGTTGCTGTTCGTTTTCTTGATTCTTTTCTCCTGCCTACAGGCCCCGTATTGATGTCCCTGAGACCTGGCTCTGTCATCTTAAACTCTTTACCACCGTTTCCCGAGGAGTCGTCTCCGGAAGCCACAGAGCCTGTCCTGTACCGGAGCAGGATGGCCGAAACCACTGAAAAGCCAAGCAGGATCCAAGAGAAATGGGGGAACCGGAGAGCGGAGGAAAGAGGCCAGGGTGACAAGAGAACAATGGGGCGGTCAAATGGCGTTGATGCATTTGAGTCTCCTCCCCCTAAAACGGAAAATGAGGTACAGTGGCAAAGCAGGTTCCATCCTTAGGGTGACCCATTTAAACTAAGCTGGAAATGAGCGGAGAGCTTTAAGTTTAGCACCACGGAAGGCCAAATTCTTGGTGTCTGCAAGGAGTGTAGGGGATCCAGTGATCACTGGAAATAACGAAATCTGCTAGCTGACGTAAGGAGGGCACGGCCTCTCCTGCATGGAGGGATTGGCGTCACGCTCTGCTTCCTCCACCCCTTCTTGTGCTCCAAATTCAAGGAATTCACACCCTGCCAGGGTCTTTGGGTATGCCGTGGTCCTGGTATGCCCAAGGGGGAACACGGCTCTTCATCACTATGCCAGTTCCCTTGCGTGGAAGGATGGTGTCCTAAGCAAGTGTTGGTATAAAAATAGGGTTCTGTACAAGGTTACATATATATTTTTTAAAAAACTAGAAAATGTATAACCTGCTTTTCTCCCTGCTTGAGGACCCAAAGGAGCTTTTCACATCCGTTCCTCACCTCTTCCACTTAATTCTCACACCAGCCACCTTGCAAGAGTACAGAAGGCGGAGGGATCGTAGAGAGGCCAAAGCTCACCTGACAGGCTTCCGTAAGGGGATTTAAATCCAG